TTATTTAACACTGATTTGAGCGTGACACATATGGGTGAGTGTTCGCTAAGTTAATAAATTAAGAGTTATTTAAGTTGGATGAATTTTATTTTATTTAAATTTGATTTGATTTTTTTATCGAGTTAAATTTATAAAATTTGAGTTAAGTTAATTAGATTCCTTTTATTTGAGTTTTTATTTAAAATTAATTGTAAATATGTATAATATTATAATACCATTTGATTCAAATTTAAATATTTTTTTTTATAATAATACACAATTCATATATATTTTTTCCATATTTTTTATATGTGATATATATATATATAGATTTGACAGACTCTACTCAAACTCGAAAAATAATTTACTAATTACTAAAAATTTCGAGTTATTTAGTTATATTTTATAACTCAAGTTTAATTTTAAAAAAATTTGAGTCGAGTCGAGTTTATAAAATTATAAATCAAAATTAATTCAGTCAAGTAAAATTTATGAAATTATAACTCAAAATCAATATAAGCTAGTCGAGTTTTGATCACCTAGTGACACATACTCATTCCTTTTATTCACCAACCACCATTGAAAGCTAAGGTTGTAAAACATAAAACAACCAAACTCAGATTGGAATTCAAAATCGAAAATTAAAATTCAATTCTAATTTAAAATAAAAAATTAAAACTTAATTCGAAAACTATATTGAAAGCAACTATATGGATTTTGGATGAGATACATTTGCTGATTTGAAAGGCTACTCTAAAACCCTAATTTTGAAATGGATAAAAACTTGGGAGAATTTTGTGTTTAAAGGATAACACTGAGGTTCAACTTAAAATTTCTTTTCAGATGTCTAATTTATCGTAATTGTTTCAACCCCTACAGATGCAGATGAAGACAAGGGTTTTAAACTTTTTTAATAATTGTTGTAGACTACAAAAATTATACAATTTAATTCACTTAAGCAATCTTGCAATTATGGTCCTCAGAGCCGGAAGGTATTAGGGTTATGCAATCAAAATTAATTAACTGAAAATCAATTTAAATTATTTATAATTTAATGACTTGTTATGAATAAATCTAGCATCATATTTAAACTTACTTTTGATATCTAAATTAACAAAGATTAACAACAATACTCTATAATCTGAACACGTGGAATGATCTTAGTGATTAAAAGAGTATTGTTCGGTTCTTATTCGAACATACATAAATTAGAGAGTGACTTCTTAGTCCTTTATTTGAGATGACTATCCAGTTCAGTTGGTAGAGCACAAGGTTCTTAACGTTGAGGTCGTGAGATCGAGTCCCACGGAAGAAATTTCATAATTCGGAGGTCTTCTACGGAAGCTACTCTCAACATGGTGTTGGAGGCAACCTACTATCTTACCTCCCCTTTACCCCATTACATATGGGAACAAGGGACATCCATTTTCTTAGTCCTTTATTTTATAATTTGGTCATTTCTGCCGTCCAACGTAGAAACCTTGGCCTTTTTGATCCCATCGGTTGACAATGTCTTTAATGTAACGAATTCGCTTTGAAAATTTTGAATGGAAAATGGTTTCCAATCATTTATAAATAAAATGTTTTTTTTTTCTTTTTTCAGTCGTTTAGTTTATCTTTTCGTATATCCCTTTATAGAGTTGAATTTGACAACGATTTAATTGATTAAAATGACACTTATTTATACTTTTATTGATTTTTCTATTTTTGAACCATCATATTGGATATGGATATACAATTTTTGTTCGTGGATAGTTTTATCACGTCGTTAGTCTCTGATTTGTGATTTTATCAATGTGATCTTTCATTAGTTTGATCTCCTTTTGAGATTCGTTTGTTGATGCAGTCAGATTTGTTTGTATCTATATTTTGTTAGAGTATTTTGGTTAGATTTTTAATCTTTTCCTTGTATGGTCATGGTATGATCTCAAGTAGCTAGTTTTTGTGTTCACCATTTTAAAAATATCATAATTACATGTTTACTTTACGATTATGATTGTAACATTTTATTGTAATTTTAGATATTTCATTTTTTTAATCAAACTAGCGGCTTCTATAAAAATAAATATTTTTTTAATCGTCTAGAATGATTATAATGTAATATATATTCAAAATTATTTATAGTTTATTGATAATACACATATATACTTTTCAGACACATCTAATAATCGATTCTCGAACCTAGATAGTTAATCATTCATGCATTATTATTATCATCTTTCTAGATTCAGATAATATAATCTTATATTTTAATATAATAAGTAATTATTTGGATATGAATTTCATGATACATTCTCGATCCTTCGTCACTTTCCAACTGCTTCCCGGTACAGGACACTATGATTTATTGATTTAAACATTACGATACAACCAACAAAATTTCATGGGATTAGGTCAAAACTTTGGTCCTCCCCTCCCTATAAGGCTACGTGTTAAACTTGTTTGTTAATATGATCCAACATGACTGTTGATGGGTCACTGTTCAATCACGCTTCAGCATCTTTGTTTTCCATTTTGTTTTTCCGGTGAATATTTTAAGTGCATTCATTCTCTACAAAATTGGACCAAAACCACCATATTCATGAGACACCCAAGTTTTCATGGTGGTCCACCAATTGAGACATCCGTCGCCTATGATGATCAGACGCATGCCAAGAAGGAATATAAAAATATTCATTCCTTAAATATTTAAGTCTAAGCTCGATTGCACGAACCAAACAATCTCAGTGATTGAGATGATGGTTGTTATCTCTAAAGGTCTCATATTCGAGCGCCATTGACCGTAGGATAATTGAGCTTTCATTTCAAATAATTAATTATTGATATTTGATTTATTTACTAATTAAATTAAATTAGATATTACAAAGATTCATTATGAGAACGACCCTCATAATTTAATTTATTACATTCACAATATTAAAATTTAAACTATTAATATTATTTAAGAGATATAATTAATTATCATTCTAAACCAACTAATTGTTGGTTAACTGTTACTCTAATTAAAAGTTATAATCGAGTATTTAAAAAAATGAACATTTATAATGTTTCTCTCTCTCCAAATTAATGTATTTAAATGTATATATATACATGTAACAAATGTTTTCATTATAAATATAAGAGTAGGATCCGGGCCAGATATACAGTATAAAAACAATTATACTAATTTAAAATTATTAGATTAATATAATTTAATAAATAAAATTATTTGTTTATTTTATAAAATCTCTTCAATTTTAATTATATATATATTCGCACGTGGCTTTCATGGTCCAATATTTTTGTTCCACTTGCACGAATCATTGTTTTATATATAGTTTTCCATGGAGTGTAGCAATGAATGTTTACTATAGACAAATTTATTCGTATCATTTGATTAATTTATTATTATTAGCGTAAAATTTGTTGTTTATTAAAGAAGTGTTCTCTCTTTTACCTATTTCTCTCTCGCACGTTTTTAGTTAAATTTTATTAAATTACCTATATTTTGCTTCAAATTAAATTATTTATCTCTATAGGATTTATCCCTTTTTTAAACGAAAAATAAAAATAAATAGGAAAGAATTTAATTAGAGTCATCTTATACTTAATAATCGAGAGATAAATGATAAGATTTTCTTTTACTATTTGAATTATACTAAAATTATTCATGGGTCGATTTGCACCTGAAATATTCTTTAGGATTGTCGAATTTATAAGATTAAATTAATATTTATTTTATGCGATAGTTTGATATTTATCTCTAATTTTATATTGTCACCCTTATCCTAATTTGTTGTAAATTTTTACTTAATGAGACATTTCAAGATTATCATTTTGATATACGATAAGATATTTAAAAAACCTAAATTTAAATTGTAATATTGTTTGTTCGGTTTGAGAGTTGATCCCGAATTAATGGTATCACACAATATTATACGGCTCGCAATTTGTAAATTCGGACCTCTCACAAACATACATTTAATTATCTTTATAAAGACTACAACCCAATTTAAAATCATGCGAGGAACTTCTACATCACATCCAGGTAGTATTGATATTTAAGCATGAGAAAATTGGTACAGTTAGTTTTGAGAAAATTGTAACGGTCCCTAAGGACCTATAACTTGATAAATTTGATTAGGTAACATTGATAGCATGTTCAGATTACCTTAAGGGTGTTACAAACTCTTAATTTTGAGTATCTTTAGTAATCTAGGTGACATGCTAACTCTTTTGAACGTCTTAACTAGATAATCAATCTTGACATGATATGATGAATTTATAGTTGCTTAGGGGTTGTTGTGCACGATCATTCCTTAGTAACTATATTGAGGTAAAGAGGTCCTTACATGTCGAATTGGTGCTTATCTAGGGTTGGATTGTTCCTTAGGCATCATAAGTCTTGGTATAGTTTGGGGGTGAGTTAGAGTGCATTTTATGTATAATTAAGTCATTTTTACACTGATTTGTAATTTTACATTGATTTAAGATCGTTAGATGAATGAAAATAAATAATATATTTTAACAATAAAAAAGAGAATACATTCACTAGAAGACAAAAAGTTAATTTAAACCATCTATTTTTACTTATATAACGATCCTAGTATACGTAAAACTATCAAAGTTATATATATATATATATATATTTCTACACGCATTTTGTTTTGGAAAAACAAGGGAAATTACTTGAAGGAATGGGATAGCGATAACTTAGCAAAATTTGATCCATCATTTTCACATATATGGCCGAGGCAACACGTGCATGTAACTGCTTCGTTAATTTAACAGTTAACTTAGTATAACATCACCTCTCTCTTCACACCACATTCAATCACTTCACTCCACTATCAACGGTCCACCCCTTTCCACGTGTCACCAACCCACCATTACCACCACCTTCACGCCTAAGGAACCTTCTCCATGGCCCATCTTCTTTTTCTATTTGCACTATAAAATTCTTTGGATAGCCATACACACAAATTAATTCATTCTTAATTTCTCGTCATTTTCCAGGGAATTTCCTTACCCAGTTTGTTTAAAAAAGCATCACTGTTATGCTTATAAGGAAGAAAACTTATGATCATCACTGGTTTTTGTTCAGTTTGATTTGAACACTTCGTTCTTCTAACCGAGAGCTTCTTAGATATGGGACTGAGTTCTAAGCAGGTTTCTAGCGATGGCGTCGGATGGAACCAGGGTCACTCCTTGTTGCAGGCTGCTCAAACGACAGGGCTAACGAAAGCGTCGTCGATGAAGAGGCGGCGTGAACAAAACCAGCAGCCTGAATCAGAGCCGCCATTGAACTGTCCGAGATGTGATTCTTCCAACACCAAGTTTTGTTATTACAACAACTATAACAAGTCACAACCTAGGTACTTCTGCAAGACTTGTAAAAGACATTGGACTAAAGGCGGCACTCTTCGCAACGTTCCCGTCGGTGGTGGCCGCAAAAACAAGCGGATCAAGACGTCCGCCGCCTCCGGTCTTATCAGTAGGCTCGATAACTTTATCGCAGTTCAACCGCAGGACCGTGATCAGCTTCGTTCATCATCTTCGTTCAATGGGGTTTTCTTGTATTCTTCTACCATGTCTCAAGGCTTACAGTTTCCATTTTCGAGTTCGAGTTCTTCTGAGAAATCTCCGTCTGCAGTATCGACCTCATTTCAATCTTCGAGTATCTATAATTACAGTGGGGAAACAATGGATCCGGATCAAACCATCATCGTGCCCGTCATAAGTGGCACTTATTCACAGACATGGCAAGAACCTATTTCGAGCAGTGGCATTGAAATGGCGAATTGCTACTGGGATTGGGATGATATTGATGAGCTTGTCTCTACAGATTTAAACATTCAATGGGATGATTCTCAGATCATCAAACCATGAGAAGGGAACTTTTTATATATAATGCCTACATTATTTTGATGTCTCTTAATATATTGAGAATTTAAAATGATGATGAGTGTTAAAAATCTGAAATTTAAACAAATGTGATATATATAATCATTTTAATTTTATTTGTAGATTTCTAAATTTTTTATTTATTAGAAATAAAATAAAATTTTATTTCTCTATCGCGCTTATCATTCTCCTAATCGACGTTAGATAATAATAATTTCTTTTAACAAAAATAATATATATTTAATTAATTAAAATAATAAAAAATTATTATGAAAATGACACTAAGAGTTTGATCATAAAAATTGAAGGTGCATCTAATCAACTGCTCTTTGTATAAGACGTAGTTGACTAGACGTGCTTTTATCCTATGTGAAACACTAATTAAAAGAATCAATCGCACTTTTGAGTGGAAGGTGATTTATGTTTAGGATTGAGATGAATATCATTTTTGTAAATAATTTGTAAATATCATTTAATTAATTAATTATAAAATATTATTTTCATGGAAAAATTAACGATAATGCTATATATAAGATAATTATTGTAGTAAAATAAAAATAAAAACTTGAGAAACGTATAGAATTAAGATTAGTTCATGTGTCCTTATAAAAAAAATGACAATATTCTAAAATTGATTGTATTTTTTTTATACAAAAAGAAATGATCCATATATATGCGAAGAGTTTAGAATGGGGTCTGTTCCAGCTATAAATGGCAAACAGAATGTGGTGGAAAGATTCTTATGGATATGCATAATATGTTTTTGGATATCCAAATATGTATTAGTAGTAATATTTGCATGGATTCATTTCTTTATAATTTAAGACCACTTGTTGAGAATAATTCTCTTTTGCCTTGTCCCCACATCATTTTGGTTGTAAAATAGTATTGGTCGGTCTAAAGTGTGGGGTTCCATTCATGTTTATTAGTAAACCCAACATGCTATGTTCTAATTCTCTCTCACATCAAATCTATAGCATGTGCACATTGGGGCCATACTTTCCGGCCTTTGTTCCCTAATTTGTTCCATAGCATCCACTCCCTTAAACAAATGATCAACGTAAATAAGATACATGTAAAATATGAATTTTAACATAGTTCGACGTTGCTTACCTTCATAGATGATTGAAACAATAATCTATGAAAGTAAAGATCACAAATAATACAAAGACATGATATATAAGATATATCAAAATCCAGTATATATATATACTAAAACTCATTGTATCCCAAAATACTTTTCTAATATCCTACAAAACTCATATATGCAATATAAACCCTTAAAAGTTACAAAGATTATAAAAGAATTACATGTTTCTAAAATAATATTCTCTGTTATTCTAAAGGCTAAGACAAACTCTCTTTTCATATATACAAATATTTGATCACCATAAATTCTTATGGAAGAATTTGTATCTAAATAAGCTTAATTATCAAATAATCATCAACCACTAAAATTACAACAAGATCCAATTTAATTACTAATTAGAATTTGAGTCGATATAATAATTAAAATGATAGGATTATTTTCAGGGAATAAAATTGATATCAATTTTATTAATACATATTGATTCAGATGTCAAAAATAAGGACTGATATAAACATAATTTATTTTCCCTAAACTTTAGTGAAAGGATCTGAGCAATTTGGGCTGTACAATTCCATCGTTAGCCCAAGGAATCGTCAGATAGGGAGGCTTGATTCAGAATTATTATAATCAATTCGATAGATTAATTTTTTACAAATAATTATATTATTATTAGTCATTCCACTAAGGTAGTATGATCGAAATCTAACATATAAAATAACTAAAATTTAAGTTTATATGTGGATTTTGTTTTATGATATTATCATGAATATATTACTTTTGTAGGATATTCATGATCTTCTTTTTTTCTTTCGCATAAATTGATATTAATTATATTTTGTGAATTGTATAATGGAAAAAAAAATTAGCTGACCCTATTCTCATATGTAATGGGATAAGAGGGAGGTAGGATAGTAGGCTGCCCTCAACGCCATGTTGTTCCGTGGGAGACCTCCAATTATGAATTGCCCACCATGAGACTCGATCTCACGACCACAAAGTTCCTTAACCTTGTGCTCTACCAACTAAGCTGGACAAGCAATTCATGATATACATTATCAAGAAACAGTTGGCTTATCATGATATATATCATATGTGGAGCCATTCAAAAGAAATGATGTGTAGTGATTAGAGGTAGTGATCACTCCTCACTTATGAAAAATACATTGCAAAGATGAAGTTAGCAATTTTTGTTCAAACTAAAACATATTTAAAAGATTTTTGGAGATTTTACTCGATCCTTATAAGTTTGGGATCGCTGTTGGAGCTCTCAATTGAAAATGGAGATTGACAATTGAAGAATGAGGGTGATTCTTTCTATATTTACGACCTCACTTGATCGTTTAAAGATTGCTTAAAAAAGGGAGAAGCTTTGGAGGTTGTGGTCTTTGATTGTGCTATATTGCATTTGTATTATTACCAATTTGATAAGAAACACTTGGGATAAAAAGTCTAATTTATCAAGTATCGTGGTGCAAGTCATGCTAAAGACAAAAATAATTATGAGGTACAATCCTTTTAAAGTGGATAAGAGAATTCCTACAACTATTTAATACACCGCTATTCTACTAACAAGTAGTTGGTTTAGTGAAATTAGACACTAGATTCCTTAAGCAATGTAGGAGGTTCAAACATTGACCTTTGCAAATGGAGCAAACTAGATTGAGAGTGTCACCCTCGCCTCTGCAATACCGATCTGGATTAGTTGATCAATAGATCGGATACCAATGGTTAATTTTTTTTTAAAAAACACTCCACTACTTTTTTTCTTAATTGAAGATGAATATGATTCAATTAAAAACTTTATTCTTTTTGAGTAGGAGGTGAATAGAATGTAGTATGTTCAAATATTCTTAATCATTTTGTTATGTATGGCTCATAAAAAGTCTCGTTGTGGGGTTATGAATTATGTGGGTTGGGGGTGTGGGGGCGCAGCCCCCGCGGTACGGTACAGGGTTGATTTTGTAATTATGTACCAGGGTTTTCTATTATAAATAGAGATGTAACCTAGACCTAAAATATCATTGAATAAAATTCTAGCGCCGCCTAGGCACTGAGGACGTAAGCACATTGCCGAACCTCGTAAAATTCTCGTGTTCTTTCGTTTTCTTTACCCGTTTTCGTCAACAATTGGTATCAGATGTCAGGAGCAAAATTCGAAGTCGCGAAATTCGATGGTCAGGGTAACTTCGGATTATGGCAAACGAGGGTGAAGGATCTATTGGCGCAGCAAGGGATCTTGAAGGCTTTGCGACCTACAAAGCCGGCGTCGGTGGATGAGGAAGATTGGGAAGAATTGCAGCAGCGAGCGGCAGGAACCATACGATTATGCTTGGCGGACGAGGTCATGTATCACGTCATGCATCTATCGTCTCCAGACGAAATTTGGAGGAAGTTGGAAAGTCAGTTTATGTCCAAATCCTTAACGACAAAACTGTATCTGAAGCAGCGGTTGTATGGGCTGAAGATGCAGGACGATCACGATTTGGCGCAACACGTGAATGTCTTCAATCAAATCGTTTCTGATCTGGCTCGGCTTGATGTGAAAATTGAGGATGAAGACAGAGCGATGATTCTGTTGTGTTCGTTGCCTTCCTCTTACGAACACATGGTGACTACTCTTACATATGGGAAAGAGACTATCAACGTTGAGGAGATTACTGCAGCCTTGTTGGCTCACAACCAGCGGAAGCAGAATGCAGGGGAAAGCTCTCAAGCCGATAGCTTATATGTCAAGGGTAATCGAGATCGTGGACGGAAGCCAGAGAAGGCAGGGTCCGGGAAGCGGAATTCCAGATCCAAATCCAGGGATAAGAAGACGATTCACTGTTACAAGTGCAAGGAGGCGGGACATATGAAGCGAGACTGTCCGAAGTTGAAAAAGCAGACTGATGAAAAGCGTGATGACTCATCCAAGTCTGTGAACGTGGTCGAGGATGATACTTCTGATTGCAGTGAGGGTGATATGCTTTCTATTTTAACGACACAATTGACGGATGCTTGGATTCTTGATTCTGAATGTTCTTATCACATCACGCCAAATAGGGAATGGTTTTCGACGTACAGGCCGGTTAATTCTGGTTCGGTTTATTTGGGTGATGATCGATGTTGCAATATTGTTGGTATTGATGATGTCAGAATTAAGATGCACGATGGCTCCGTTCGGACGTTGAGTGGTGTTCGACATATCCCAGACTTGAAGAAGAATTTGATTTCCTTGGGCACTTTGCACAAGAATGGTTTTATCCCTAAGGCTGACGAGGATAGGGAAACCATTAGGATTGTTAAAGGAGCATTGACTGTGATGAAAGGCAAGATGACTGCAGGGAATATCTACAGATTGTTAGGGAGTACCGTTGCAGGTGGAGTTCACTCTGTTGAGTCCTGTGATGATACGACAAAATTGTGGCATATGCGCCTTGCTCATCTTAGTGAACGTGGTATGGCAGAATTACACAAGAGAAACTTGTTGCATGGTGTCAAAAGCTGTAAGCTCGATTTTTGCAAGTATTGTGTTCTTGGTAAACAGACTAAAGTCCGTTTCAAGACTGCGAAGCACACAACTCAAGGGATTCTTGATTATATGCATTCTGATGTATGGGGGCCTTCCACGACATCGTCTTTGGGTGGATCTAGGTACTATGTTACTTTTATTGATGATTTTTCACGGAAAGTTTGGGTGTATTTTTTGAAACAGAAATCTGAAGTTTTTGAGAAGTTCAAGCTGTGGAAAGCTGAGGTAGAAAACCAAACAGGACGAAAAATCAAGTGTTTGCGGTCTGACAATGGTACGGAGTACACAGATTCACAGTTCCTACAATTCTGTAAGGAGCATGGGATTCAGAGGCATTTTACAGTGCGCAAGACACCACAACAGAATGGTGTTGCAGAACGAATGAAC